CTTTTTTGGACTAGAAGGATATCCAATTACTCGGTCCCTTAAGGTAGGGTCTCTGAGTCTAGCAAATCATGGAAAGTCCTTACCTCTCCTAGGGTGAGATGGACACAGGGAGGGAACAGTGTGACCAAGCACAACCAGACCTCTCTCCTCGATATGTCTCTGCTTTTACCTGGGACACAGGATCAGGGCCAGTGGAGGGGGTTAAACTGTGACACCCCCAAAGATATTCCCAAGTCTAATCCCTGGTGGGCTTTCCCTGGTGGCTCAGTGGTAAAGAATCTGCCTGCCAATGCAGGAGACGGGGGTTCCATCCCTGGGTTGGGAAGATCCCCTGGAGGAGGAAATGGCAACTCACTCCAGTACTCTTGCCTGGGATATCCCATGGGCAGAGGGGCCTGGTGGGCTGCAGTCCACGAGGTCACAGAAAAGTCGAATATGACTTAGGGACTAAACAGCAACAATCCTTGGCACCTAAAAATGTGACTGTTTGGAAATAGGGTCTTGGCAAATATTTTCAAATATCTAAAGAAAAGATCATTTTGGATTTAGGTAGACACCAATGACCAATGTCTTGTTAAAGATTAGAGAGGGAGACTTGAAACATAGAAACACATGAAGGAAAGAACCTTGGGAAAATGGATGTGGAGAGTGGAGTGATGCATCAACAAGCCAAGAAATGAACACCAAGGATTGCCAGGAACCACCAGAAGTGAGGAGAAATGCATGAAAGGCATTCTCCCCAAGAGCCTCAGAAAGAATCAACCCTGCTGACACCTTGATTTCAGACATCTGGCCTCCAGAACTGTGAGCGGGGAATACATTTCCAATGTTTTAAGACATGCAGTTTGTGGCAATTTGTTTTAAGATCCTTAGAAAACTAATATAGCAGAGAAAAAATAGGGAAGAAATATCTGGTCTTTGGGTTTCCCCAGTAGCTCAGTGGTAATGAATCCACCTGCAAGATAAGAGATGTGGATTCTATTCCTGGGTTGGGAAGATCCCCTGGAGAAGGGCATGGCAACCCACTCCAGTGTTCTCGCCTGGAGATTCCATGGACAGAGGAGCCTGGGCCTCTATAGTTCAGAGGGTCACAAAAGTCGGACACAACTGAAACGACTTAGCTCACTTAGATGAGCCATGGCCTTTCCCTTCTCCTGCCCTCCGGTTCTCGGCCAGTGCTTTCCACTGGCAAAAGTCAAAAGGCAAGTGAACCACAGAAGATGCAGTCTGCAGAAAAGGGTATAAAGTGTCCTTTAATCTAAGGTGAGGTGGGGGTGAGGGAAAACTGAGAATATGAGCACTACACAAGAAGTAAAAATCATTATAAACAATTTTTAACAAGGAGAGGAATGGAAACAGCAGGAATAGCTAGTAAATGGCTTCAGGGAAGACATAGGCCATGAAGGCTAAAAGCATTTCATTTGCTGTTGGGCTCTGCTAAATCACAAAGTTAAAAGAGAGCTTCTGTGTAAAGTAATTAGCCTCCAACTAATAAAAATAAATAAATAAAAATGAAATTTAAAAAAAAAAAGAGAGAACTTCTGGCTCGTCCAACCCAAGTGTTTGCTCATTCTGTTTACAAAGAACCAGGTTCACAGACGTGTCCACCTCCACACAGTCAGTGAGGGAAAGAGTTGGGCCTGAAACTAAGTCAGCCAGATCCTAGTCAGTTTTTCGTTTGCTGGTGTAATGTATTTCTCATCCAGAGAGGAAGGCCAACCTGGTGCTTTAACTTCTTTTTTTGAGATATTTTCAGAAATAGCAGCTCTGTTTCAGGTGGCATCTCAAGCAGAACTCAAAACAATACCACCAGAAGCAGTTGCTCCATCTTCTCAGGACAGAGTGTTACTGATTCAGAGGACTCTTTCCCAGAGGGCTGTGCTGTGAGGCACCCAGAGCTATGGCTTCAGTCAAGTGTGTTTCAGGGCAGCTCTATAGCTGCCCACACCCTGATTCAGGGAATAAGCATACATACACTAAACATCTAGTAGATACCAGGCAGCGGGGGTGCAATGCTCAATCACACACAGTCCTGTCGTTAAGGGGCTTGCAGTCTAGAGGGGAGATGAGGAAGTAAATGAATGTGGTAGGAGCAGTCAGTGAAATTGAGTTCCTACCTTACCCAATGAGAGATGCAGAGAGGCTGCTTAGCGTTGGGGAGTGTAGAGGCTGCTTTTTCCTCAAGCACCAGAGAAGCTCATGTACAGAATTTTCTTCATTTTACAGTGTTTGTTTAACACACTTTACTTTTTTTTTTCTTTCTTTTACTTTTGTTATTATTATTTTGGCCCTGCCATGAGACATGTGGAATCCTCATTCCTGGGCCAGGGGTTGAACTCACGCTACGTGCATTGGAAGCACAGAATCCCAACCACTGGACCACTAGGGAAGTCCCAGACTTTAATTTTTAGAGCAGTTTTTAGGTTCATAGAAAAACTGAGCAGAATGTACAAAGGGTTCCCACATATCCCTTGCCCTCATACATGCATAACCTCTTCCACTATCAACATCCTGCCTTAGAGTGGCACATTTGTTACAATATAAGAACCTAAATTGACTCATCCCTGTAACCCCAAATCCATAGTTTACATTCACGTTCACTCTTGGTGTATATTCTATGGGCTTTGACAAATGCATAAGGACATGCATCCATCATTGTAGTACTATGCAGAAAATTTCACTGCCTAAAATAGCCTATGTGTTCTGCCCATTCATGGCTCCCAACCCCCAACCCCTGGCAACCACTGAACTCTTTACTGTCTGTATAGTTCTGCCTTTTCCAGAATGTTATGTGTTTGGGATCATAGAGTATGTAGCCTTTTCAGATTGTCTTCTTTAATTAATAATATGCTTTTAATATCCCTCCATGTCTTCTTGTGGATTCATAGCTCATTTCTTGTTAGTGCTGAATAATATTCCATTGTATGTATATGCTACAGTTTATCTATCCATTCACCTACTGAAGGGCATCCTGGTTGTCTTCAAGTTTTGGCAATTCTCTGTAAAACTGCAACAAAGATCTGTGTGCAGATTTTTGTGTGACATAAGTTTTAAATTACTTTAGATAAATAGCAAGGAATGTGATTACTGGAGTATATGTTCAGACTGTTTAGTTTTGTAAGAAACCTTCAAACTTCAAAAGCAGTTATACCATGGTATATATGTATTTTAAATGACTTAATCTTGAATCCAGCAGTGCCTATATGAGGTGTGTTTTCAGAGACTTCAGAAAACTTCCCTGATCAGCTATTAGTTGGAAGATGCCTCTCATACTGTCCTCATATTTCATCTAAATAGTTTGAGTTTTTTAACTCTGTCAAAATACAAACTCTTGTATAATTGGTAACAATTTTCATTGTCATCAATTATGTATACCTTGAACAGGAACAAATGTTCTAAGAGTGCTTTGATTAAGCAAAATACAGTGAAAATTAAGGGGAAAAACTGCAGTGTATATAACTAGCTGGTCTGTATATTTCCTCTCCCAGGAGTACTTGCTGTATCCAAGGTTAGAGATCTGTTCGCTTAATCTAATAAGTGGAGAAGGAGCCAACAGCCAGCAGGCACTGGACTAGAACTGGGAACACAGAGGTAAAGAGGCGCAATCTGTGTCCTTGAAGAGCTAACCACCCAGGCATAGGTAACAATTTCAACATAACATGATACGTACTATAATCACAAAACTGATTTTCAAATAGTCTGCCAAATTGTCAATTGATGTGTCAAATCATGTGTTGCAATCTGTGATACAGAAAATATGGTTTGCTCAAATAGAGGTATTAAAGCACCATCGAGGCTCACCAGTGAGCATGACTTACTCAGCCTGGAGGGTCTGAGAATTCTTCAGAGAGGAGACAAAGTTGGGCTTTAATATTCAACAATACATGTGACATTTCCCGGCAGAGGAGAGAGACAGGTTTTAAGGCAGACAGTTAAGTGTGTGTGAGTAAAGGTGTGAAGTAGGAAAGAGTTTGGACTGTTTGAGGGAAGTGCTTCAATGTGGTCAGAGAAGAAAGTATCTGAGTTGGCGGCAGGAGAGGTGGATGGGAGGAAGCAGGATGAAATGCAGGCAGGAGGCAGCATGTGAAGGACTTTATATCATAGGCAGGAAGCTAACCTTGTAGTAGCCCAGTAGGATAGCCATGAACCATATGGCTCTTGAGTACATGAAATGTGTTCAATGCAACCGAAGGGCAGAATTTTTTGTTTTATTTCATTTATGTAAATTAAAAATGGAAATAGTATAAAATAGAAAGATACATAGGTAACACGCTGAAATGATTATATTTTAGATGGGTTGGTTAAATACAGTACACTATTAAAATTAATTTCACTTGTTCCTTTTCAGTTTTTAAAAATGTGGCAACTAGAACCTTTATTTTTTTTAATTGTAATTTTTTTTATTGGAAAACAAATATACAACTTGGAATGGATTTGAGGCAAATTGTGCCATAAGCAGATTTTCTTTAAGTGGCTAAAACAAAGTTTAAAAAGCAAGTTAACAATAAAAGAAAGTGTTTCTGGTATAGGACCAGCAGTACAAAAAAAATCGTGTACGAGTACCTGGATAAAACACCCGTTTTGCAATAGTGCAACTTTTAAGTACATATTGTTGACTGTCCATAGTCCACTCAGAGTTACAACTCCACACTTCAACAACAACATGCTGAAAATTCCTAAAGAAAACTACTCAAAAAAAAAGGCATAACCCAGATGTTCCCTCATTTGACCAACTCCATCTAAGTTTAGATGTGCAGAAGGGCTTAGATATATCAAGAGTAAGCCACATGCAACATATTACTTGATCAATTTTCTAAAATAAGGTTTCAGGACAATGACAGTAAGATAAGGGAAGAAAACTTGGAGGAATGAAGTCCTAACTACTATACATGCATTTTTTTTTGACAGTAGGGGGAAACCTTTTACAGGTAAGTTACAAACAAAGAAAAGGCAAATAAACAATTTTGTGCAAGAGATTTAACACATTCTGTACAATGTCTTCACTTTGCTGTCATCATTTGTACAAACTCTTCATAGTTTACTTGACCATCTCCATCAATATCTGCTTCCCTGATCATTTCATCAACTTCTTCATCTGTTAACTTCTCTCCAAGATTTGTCATCACATGGCTGAGCTCTGCTGCACTAATATAGCCACTACCATCCTTATCAAACACACGGAATGCTTCTATAATTTCTTCTTCACTGTCTGTGTCTTTCATTTTCTTGCCATCATTGTCAGAAATTCCGGGAAGTCAATTGTGCCATTACCATCAGCATCTACTTCATTAATCATGTCCCGTAACTCTGCTTCTGTGGGATTCTGCCCAAGAGACCTCATTACAGTTCCCGATTCCTTTGTTGTTATAGTTCCATCACCATCCTTGTCAAATAGTGAAAAAGCTTCTTTGAATTCTGCATTCTGCTCTTCAGTCAGTTGGTCAGCCATGCTGCAAGCGCTACCCATCTCCGGGAGGCAACCACACAACCACTCAGCTCGCTCACTCCACTCGGACTCTGCTGCTGCTGCTGCTGCTGCTGCTAAGTCGCTTCAGTCGTGTCCGACTCTCTGTGACCCCATAGACGGCAGCCCACCAGGCTCCCCTGTCCCTGGGATTCTCCAGGCAAGAACACTGGAGTGGGTTGCCATTTCCTTCTCCAATGCATGAAACTGAAGAGTGAAAGTGAAGGTGCTTAGTCGTGTCCAGCTCTTAGCGACCCCATGGACTTTAGCCTACCAGGTTCCTCCGTCCATGGGATTTTCCAGGCAAGAGAACTGGAGTGGGGTGCCATCGCCTTCTTCACCACTCGGACTCTAGAACCTTTAAAATTATATGTTCAGCTCACATTATATTTTTGTCGGACTATGCTGCTATAGGCAGTTGGAAGCCACTGAGAAATTTTGTGCAAGAAATGAATGTGATCAGATTGGGGTTTATTTTTTAATTATTTTTTTTAATTTTTTAAATTATGAAAGTATGGTGACACATTTACAGGAGACTTAGCAAATACAGAGCAAGGTTACATGTAGTTCCCCTATAACAAGTATTATTTCAAGTAGATAAATTAAGGTTTTTAGTTGGAGTTTCAATATCAAACCCTCAAAAATTAATAGAATGAATAGACAGAAAAGTAGAAGGATATAGTAGACCTGAAAAGCACTATGAACCAATTCAACATAATTAAGATTTATACAATTTTCACACAACAAAAGGGTACAAATTTATTCAAGTTTCCATAGACTATAAACCAGGAGACACAGAAACATATCCAGAGACATAAAAGAAGTATACACGGTCTGTTCTCTTATCACTGTGGAATTATGTTAGAAATCAATATCAAAAGATACTTGAAAATAACCCACATATTTTCAAGTGCAATGTGAGATCTTTGGTTTAGCCACAGAAATCTTTGATTTAGCCAGAGAGATCTTTGATTGAGCTATTGAAAGCCTCAAGAAGGTTAAAAGAATAAAAAACCACAGAGGGCAATTGCAGAGAAAGAAACATTTAAATGAGAGATTAATATAAAAATGAGAAATTAATATAAAGATACTTCAAAAACCCCAAGTATTTGGAAATTAAATGTCCACTTTTAAATAATGGGTGTTTCTAAGGAGACATAACAAGGAAAATTAGAAGATATTTGTAACAGAAGAAAAATGAAAAGAGAATGGACACTAGTATAAAATTTTCTGAAATTTGAACAAAATCTTACTTTAGTTAATAATACTGTGAAAGTAAAAGTGAAAGCAGTTCAGTCATGTCTGACTTTTCATGGTCCCATGGACTATAGAGTCCATGGAACTCTCCAGGCCAGAATACTGGAGTGGGTGGGTAGGCCTTTTTCCCTTCTTCAGGGGACCTTCCCAACCCAGGGATCGAACCCAGGTCTCCACGTTGCAGGTGGATTCTTTAGCAGCTGAGCGACAAGGGAAGCCCAAGAATACTGGAGTGGGTAGCCTATCCCTTCTCCAGCAGATCTTCCTGACCCAGGAATCGAACCGGGATCTCGTGCATTGCAGGCAGATTCTTTACCAACTGAGCTATCAGGGAAGCCCTAGAAGTTTCTCATTCAAACATTTTTTTAAAAATCACTAAAATAATAAATTACCTAGACTTTTAGCAGTAATACTAGATGCCTAAATAAATGAAAGTATATGAAAGTTTTGAGTGACTATAAATTACAAATCTAGTATTACACTTATATTAAGTCAAACAAGTAGACTCAAAAGTAGACACACATATATAAAAGCTTTTCTACTACACTTGATAAAGCCTTGAGAAAGAACAACAAAAAAATGATGGAGAAATTGGAAAACATAAACTTAATGAAATGGGAGCACTGAATATAAAATAGAAAAAAATGAAACAAACTAGATAAAAGTAAAAGGTCATCATATAGTCCAGTTGTTTTTAAACATGACTGTTCATTAGAATTACCTCTGGAGCTTTTGAGAAAATAAAACAATACCTTGGCATTTGTATTTTTCAAAAATTTCCAAGATAATTCTACTGTGTATCTGGATTTTTAAAAGTGATTACAGGTTTTTCCATTAAATGGTTGTTTTAGTGATATAGAAGTCAATTATTTTCTGTTAACCAATCATGACACAATGCTATTAAAATGAATATTAGGAGAGTGTTTTGCCTATGTTCTCCTCTAGGAGTTTTATAGTTTCTGGTCTTACATTTAGATCTTTAATCCATTTTGAGTTTATTTTTGTGTATGGTGTTAGAAAGTGTTCTAGTTTCATTCTTTTACAGGTGGTTGACCAGTTTTCCCAGCACCACTTGTTAAAGAGGTTGTCTTTTTTCCATTGTATATCCTTGCCTCCTTTGTCGAAGATAAGGTGACCATAGGTTCGTGGATTTATCTCTGGGCTTTCTATTCTGTTCCATTGATCTATATTTCTGTCTTTGTGCCAGTACCATACTGTCTTGATGACTGTGGCTTTGTAGTATAGTCTGAAGTCAGGCAGATTGATTCCTCCAGTTCCATTCTTCTTTCTCAGGATTACTTTGGCTATTCGAGGTTTTTTGTATTTCCATACAAATTGTGAAATTATTCGTTCTAGTTCTGTGAAAAATACCGTTGGTAGTTTGATAGGGATTGCATTGAATCTGTAGATTGCTTTGGGTAGTATAGCCATTTTGACAATATTGATTCTTCCAATCCATGAACACGGTATATTTCTCCATCTGTTTGTGTCCTCTTTGATTTCTTTCATCAGTGTTTTATAGTTTTCTATGTATAGGTCTTTTGTTTCTTTAGGTAGATATACTCCTAAGTATTTTATTCTTTTTGTTGCAATGGTGAATGGTATTGTTTCCTTAATTTCTCTTTCTGTTTTCTCATTGTTAGTGTATAGGAGTGCAAGAGATTTCTGTGTGTTAATTTTATATCCTGCAACTTTAACACTCTCCGACATAAATCACAGCAGGATCCTCTATGACCCACATCCCAGAATTTTAGAAATAAAAGCAAAAATAAACAAATGGGACCTAATGAAACTTAAAAGCTTTTGCACAACAAAGGAAACTATAAGCAAGGTGAAAAGACAGCCCTCAGATTGGGAGAAAATAATAGCAAATGAAGCAACAGACAAAGGATTAATCTCAAAAATATACAAGCAACTCCTCCAGTTCAACTCCAGAAAAATAAATGACCCAATCAAAAAATGGGCCAAAGAACTGAACAGACATTTCTCTAAGGAAGACATACAGATGGCTAACAAACACATGAAAAGATGCTCAACATCACTCATTATCAGAGAAATGCAAATCAAAACCACAATGAGGTACCATTACACACCAGTCAGGATGGCTGCTATCCAAAAGTCTACAAGCAATAAATGGTGGAGAGGGTGTGGAGAAAAGGGAACCCTCTTACACTGTTGGTGGGAATGCAAATTAGTACAGCCACTATGGAAAACAGTGTGGAGATTTCTTAAAAAGCTGGAAATAGAACTGCCATATGACCCAGCAATCCCACTTCTGGGCATACACACCGAGGAAACCAGATCTGAAAGAGACACGTGCACCCCAATGTTCATCGCAGCACTGTTTATAATAGCCAGGACATGGAAGCAACCTAGATGCCCATCAGCCGACGAATGGATGAGGAAGCTGTGGTACATATACACCATGGAATATTACTCAGCCATTAAAAAGAATTCATTTGAATCAGTTCTAATGAGATGGATGAAACTGGAGCCCATTATACAGAGCGAAGTAAGCCAGAAAGATAAAGACCATTACAGTATACTAACACATATATATGGAATTTAGAAAGATGGTAACGATAACCCTATATGCAAAACAGAAAAAGAGACTCCGATGTATAGAACAGACTTGTGGACTCTGGGAGAAGGCGAGGGTGGGATGTTTCAAGAGAACAGCATCGAAACACGTATATTATCTAGGGTGAAACAGATCACCAGCCCAGGTTGGGTGCATGAGACAAGTGCTCGGGCCTGGTGCACTGGGAAGACCCAGAGGGATCGGGTGGAGAGGGAGGTGGGAAGGGGGACCGGGATGGGGAATACATGTAAATCCATGGCTAATTCATTTCAATGTATGACAAAAACCACTGCAATGATGTAAAGTAATTAGCCTCCAACTAATAAAAATAAATGAAAAAAATTTAAAAAATAAATAAAATGAATATTAGTTACATAGTCACAAAATTAAACTCAACATTTAGAAAACTAAGATCATGGCATCCAGTGCCATCACTTCCTAGCAAATAGAAGAGGAAACAATGGAAACAGTGACAGACTATTTTTGGGGGCTCCAAAATCACTGCAGATGGTTACTGCAGCCGTGAAATTAAAAGATGCTTGCTCCTTGGAAGAAAAGCTCTGACCAACCTAGACAGCATATTAAAAAGCAGAGATGTTACTTTGCCAACAAAGGTTTGTCTAGTCAAAGCTATGGTTTTTCCAGTAGTCATGTATGAATGTGAGAGTTGGACTATAAAGAAAGCTGAGCATCGAGGAATTGATGCTTTTGAACTGTGGTGTTGGAGAAGACTCTTGAGAGTCCCTTGGACTGCAAGGAGATCCAACCAGTCTATCCTAAAGGGAATCAATCCTGAATATTTGTTGGAAGGACTGATGCTGAAGCTGAAGCTCCAGTACTTTGGCCACCTGATGCGAAGAGCTGACTCATTGGAAAAGAACCTGATGCTGGGAAAGATTGAAGGCAGGAGGAGAAAGGGACAATAGAAGATGAAATTGTTGGATGCATCACCGACTTGTTGGACATGAGTTTGAGTAAACTCCGGGAGTTGGTGATGGACAGGAAAGCCTGGTGTGCTGCAGTTCATGGGGTCGCAAAGAGTGAGCCATGACTGAGCAACTGAACTGAACTGAAATGAATCACAAAATTAAAAGTTTTTACAGTTAATAGCCAGACAAAAGATAAAAGATAATTACAGTATACTGTT